TTCTATGAGCAGACTGAGATGGATAGATAGATAGATAGATAGATAGATAGATAGATAGATAGATAGATGGAATGAAAAAAGAAAAGAAAAATGTCTAAAGAAAGAAAGAAAGAAAGAAAGAAAGAACGAAAGAAAGAACATTATATTGATACAGCCTCAAAATGAAATAAAAGTTGGAAGGTGATGATAACGAAACAGCGTGTAAGATAGCTGCCTCTTTTGCCTGCAGTGTTCTTGCTTTTAAAACATTCCTACGTTTTGGATTTCATTTCACTGCTCGAGTCTATAAAAATAATTACATGTTTCATTCATTTAGTTATTTATTTTCAGTAGAATTATTTATTTTTCATGCTTTCAAAGATAGGAAACATTTGTCCCCGAAAGCATAACTACTGGAATGTATGATAAGCTCAACGAATCGGCTGACACAAGTCTGACAGGCAAGAGGAGACATGCACGCATGCGTATATGTAAACAAAACTGATTTTCAGTTTTTTCTGTTTTTCAACTAAAATATTAACAGATTGCCTCCCAAAATATCAAGTATAATAAATTAATACATGATAATAAAAATTAGTATTATTTCATTTATTCGATAAATAGAAATGAAAAATGTATTGCATTAAAATCTCGGAATATTTTAAAACTATTTTATCTTGTCATATATTTAAATCTTTAAAAATAGTTACCACCAAAATTTCGTTAAAAATGTGGTTCCGTTACTTGATGTAAAAAATGCACAAATCATAAAAAAAATTATAATCAAAATCTTTGTGTTATTATTAAGAGAAAAGATTAAAATATGTTTTAATGTAAAAGTTATTTTTTATTTATTCGTCATTAAAATCTTGGTAATTTTGGTTAGAAATTTTTTTCTGACGTCAAAGCGGGACTATAGAACTGTATGGAAAATTTTAGCCTTTTTTACAGTGAAAAACAAATTGATTTGGAAATTCTCGCAAGAATCAAATAATTGTTGAATTTTACTGACACTTTCAGGACTTATTCAGAGATTAATGACACTATTTTAAAATTTTTTTTTTTTTTTTTAGAAAATCTTTTTTTATATATATCTCTTACTGCCCACTCATTTAATGTTTGTAATGTTTAATTTTGATATTAAATATAAGTCCTCGGGGAATTTAAATCACCAATTTTCTTTACTTTTTTTTATTTTTTATTTTTTTGTCAAACAGAATCCCCTGTTAGAGAAAACCCGCTCTGAATTGTAAAATAAAAAATGCAATACGGCTAATAAAAATTTAAATAGAAAAGCTTTTAATTGCTTTTATGAATAAGATATATTATGGACACTATTGTCGCCGAAAAAAAAACATTTTTTTTATAAAAAATGAATTTTTACAAGAATTGTTTACATTTTTTTAAAATTAGGATAAGATTTTAATGGTAACTATAGTAAATATGAAATTTATTGGGAATTTTCTAACATTTCCTCGACAAGACTATAAAGCCAAATTATCCAAAATTCAATGAAAATTATAATGCTTAAAATATTTAAAATTTTAATGATATATATATATATATATATATATATATATATATTGAACAATAAAAAATATTAAAAATTAAAATCTTCAGACACACTGGGTTGTATATTAATATTCTTTTGTTTTTATTATTTCATTTAGATTCTTCGACTAGTTTCGGCCAACATGGCCATCATCAGGAGAAAAAAATATTTTGCTTGCTGGTAGCAGTGAACTACAGAAATGAATGTCTTGATGGAGAAAATGAACTTTTGTCTGTAGTTTTCATTTGTTTTTTTTTTTTTTTTTTTTTTAACATGAATTTTGGTCATTCCTTGTGTTGGTCAAACAGTCTCTTTTAAGTTGTTATTTGAGATAAGAGCTGGATGGATTCATGCTGCTCTGAATTCCTTGGTCATTTTGACAGTTTTTTTGGTTCCTGGAAAGGGGATGTGTCTCTGTTAAGTGTGTGTGTGTGTGTGTGTGTTATTTGGTTCTTAGGGAGTTGAGTAAATGTGTAAGCGTGTATATTACTATTTGTGTTCATTTGGCTCATTAGGGAGTGAGTGAGTATGATGTGTGTAAGTGTGTATATTCGTGTGGTGTGTATAAGTGTGAGGCCTCAACACCTCCGCAAGCATGTCTGTCTTGTGTGGGTGAGAAATGTGGGTAGGTTTTGATTTTTGATATATTAATACTATCTATATTGTTAAATTTGTGGTTAAGCCCGTCTGGATAGAGCGTTTTTAGACGTTGAATCCATTTATTTTCATGTCCTTCTAAAATCTGTCTAATGTTATCTGCTCTGAATTTTTCTATTCTCTCAATTATAGTGAATTTGGCATGGGTTTTAAAAGCGTGTTTTTGTAGGCGGAAATGTTGTTCTACAGATAATAATCTTTCATGGGGAGTCGACTTAATTCGATTGAGATAATTATTAATTCTATAGTGAAAGGGCCATTCAGATTTTCCTATATATTGTTTCTGGCATAGTGTGCATTCCTGGAGGTAAATTATGTCATGACTTTTGCAGTTAGAATCATGGTAGATTTTGAAAATAGATTTAGTGACTGAGCTAGTGAATGAATTCGTGTGTCTAATGTGGTTACAGCATAAGCTCCTTTTGTTGTTACTTGGTTGGGAAAATCC